ATTAAGTAGCTTATTGCCTTCAGAATTAAACAGAATATTCTTGGAGTATGCAAGCTGATGGTGCTGAGGAAGTTGAAAAGGGGTGGTGCTAGTTTGCTGGAGTATCATTTATTTCTTGAATATGTACAAGATGTTTATTAATTACTCCGCTCTTAATGTTTCATTTATTCTTTTCAGACTCATCCAAAATTTTCAGATAAGGAAGTGCAATGGGTCTATGAGCAAAATTGCTTTGAGGATCTGGAGTTACTGTACCTGTAGAAATATGGAAGCAAAATTGTGGAATTCGGGGGGAACGTAAATTTACATGACAAGGAATTACAAATGTAATGGTCGTAATTCTGTAGTTGGACGAAACCAGGAAAGTATTAAACAATCCTGCAGTTTTACAGCAACTATGAAGTTTTTAAAGATGTCTTCGCAAAGTGGGTTCAGCTCCGTCGAAGTACGTGTTGTGCTATGCTTCTTGTGCACGTGCAAACTGAACCATGTCTTTGGGCAAACAATTTCTATAACTGGAGTCGCATTCAAGAGGCGAAACGTAGCGAATTTTGGATTCGATACGATTCTTAAAAGTATTAATAATGTTCGCAGTGGGATAGAATGTGCACTTCTGTGCACCAAGTTAAGCGGCTGTTCGGGATATGAGTATCGTTCTCCAAGTAGAGAATGTCTACTGGGACAAGGACTCCAGCCCGGCTCTGGCAGTGCTTCAAACGACGCCCGACTGTTTGTCACAAACACAGGTATGACCAAAGATAGTAAATAACAAGATGGGCCACTCAGCCGAAAAAGTGTCCGCAGGAAGTATGCTCTTTGCTTCAGATAGCGCTGCAGTCTGTTTTGAAGCTCTCTTTCGTTTTTCCAGAAGAAGAATAGGAATAGCACCTCCTTGCGTGCGCAGATCGACTGCTGTTCATCAGTAGTTCGGGTTCGTTCAGTGCGGAGTTTTAGGTTATTTATATTTTAATGACCTCTCGCCTTTCGTTCTAAAGTCAAATTAAACGAAGAAAACAATCACCCTTTCCTCCGGAAAAGGTTTTTTGTTAGTGTAACCATTAAAAAAAAGCGTTCTTCTAAAATATATTCAAAAACTTGCTAGTTTCACTTTGATATTTTAAAACTCAAGTAGGATACTCTGTTCGCAAAAGGTGCGCTTTTGCGAAGAGGGCGCCACCGAATTTTGAGGACACTTTTTAAATTGGCTCAAAGAGAGAAGTGGCCCCTCTTGTTATGTAGACTCATTGGTTTGACCACAATTCTAATCTGTAATGGCGTCTTCTAATCCGAATACTTCTGGCGTCTTATGCAACACTATTTTTTAAACTTCCGAGCTTATATTTTTCGATCATTTAGACAAAAAAAAGGGCCACTTCAAGGATACTCTATTTTGTACTCTAAACCTCGTGTTCTGTCTGTCTGTCTGTCTGTCTGTCTGTCTGTCTGTCTGTCTGTCTGTCTGTCTGTCTGTCTGTCTGTCTGTCTGTCTCTCTTTCTTCCTCTCTCTCCCTCTTTTTCTCTCTCTCTTTGCCTCCCCTCTCTCTCTCTCTCTCTCTCTCTCTCTCTCTCTCTCTCTCTGTATATATATATACATATATATATGTATATATTTATATATATGTATGTATGTATGTATGTATGTATGTATGTATGTATGTATGTATGTATGTATGTATGTATGTATGTATGTATGTATGTATGTATGTATGTATGTATGTATGTATGTATGTATGTATGTATGTATGTATGTATGTATCTATGTATGTATGTATCTATGTATGTATCTACCTATCTATCTATCTATCTATTTATCTATCTATCTATCTATCTATCTATCTATCTATCTATCTATCTATCTATCTATCTATCTATCTATCTATCTATCTATCTATCTATCTATCTATCTATCTATTTTGTGCCAATCAATCTGCACTCCACCTAAATCCCATACGCTCCTTCGAAATAAAATTTACGCCTAGAGGGGTTCCCTGGTGTGACCCCCCCCCCAACAAAGAAACCCCCCCCCCCCAACCAAACTAACAACAAACAAACAACAAAACAAAACCAACCAAAAGTCCCCACAAAAAAACAACAATAAACAAACAAAAAAACCACCACAAAAACACAAACAAACAAACAAACAAACAGACAAACAAACTAGCTAACGACGCCCGAATTCAAATATACAATTAATCATTGCATCATAGCTCGGGTAGTTGGAGGGCATCGTTGGTACATCTTACTTCTCCCCTATCCTGCTGTTACGTCTGGCTTACTACCTTACTTTTCCCGTAGTTATCTCTCTTCCTTCCCTTTATGTTTTTACTCTTTTGCACTTTTCTTTTTTATTTTGAGTTCCTCTGGTGTCCGTAGGATGTTGAGGGGAGGTGCGGCTTTCTGTTCTGCGCTAAGTGAGTGGCGCCTGTGATTGATATAGCATGTTGTTCCAGGACTTTTTTAAAAACCCTATTCAGTCAGGCCTTTCTGGGTCTTTCTCTTGATTTGAAGCCAGATTCACAGCTGTGATACGCTCTTGTTGCTGGTTATTTCTGGGCCATTCTGGTTACATGTACAAACCGTTCGATTCTTTGACGCTCAACGAAATTCGTAACTGGTTGTCTTACGATTAACAGGCGTATGATCTCGTCCCTTATGCGGTCTTGTCTGGTGACATTGATGGTTTTGCGGAGACACCTCATTTCGCATGCTTTGGTTTTTTCTTTCTTATGCTTTATTTAGGGACCGTGTTTAAAAAAACTTTTAGTAGAGGTTTTACGGCGCTCGCAACTGCATAAGTTCATGGGAGCGCCAAACCGTGTTTGGCACTCTTATGATATGATTGGTATGAAGATACCATTGATAAGCTGGGCTTTCATTTTGATTGGGACGCTAGTTGGTATGTCACTGCATTTGCCTTCTTGGTTCTAGTTTCTAACTCTCTATCCATACGCCCATTTGTGTGTGAATAAGATGCTTCCCAAGTATTTGAATTCCTCTACTTGTTGGAGTTGTGTCCCATTTGTAAAAAATGTTGAGTTTCTCTGGGTTTCTGCTGACTTTCAAAACGTCTTTCATGTTTAGGTGCTTACATTCTCCTTTCAGTCTTGTGGTGAGTTTTTAAAAATTCCGCTTCATCTGTATGCAATATGCCCTGGTCATCAGCAAGTTGGAGCTGGATCAGTTTAGTGATGTTGTCATTTCCTGTTTTAGTGATCTTATTCATGTAAGGGATGAAAATAAAGCGGAGAGAGAACAGAGAAATGTCTCACCCAAAACCTGATACGGAATCAGTCTGATAGTCCCTCTGTTTTTCTTACAGCATACAGGCCGTTTCTTATAGTCCATGATGATCTGCAGCAATTGTGCTGTTTCATCATAATCCTCTAGAACTCCCCAAAGGTGACCTCTGTTCACCCGTTTGAACGCCCTTTCCTGGTCTACAAAAACCATGTTGAGGTCTTTTTCATGTGCCGAAGCAGTCTAACACAACGTCTAACACAACTGCCTTAATACAAAGATAGCGTCAGTACTGTCCCTGCCTTTTCTAAAGTCAAACTGGGCTTCATTGAGTTGAGTTTCTACAACTGGTCTCATTCTCATTTCCAGTATCTTGGCGAAGGAAGGGATATTCCACTGTAGGTTTCATATTTTTTTTTGTTACCTTTCTTTTCCTAAATTGGCACAATGATTGCTCATTGCCATACACACCTCTAATCTTCGGGACTTTAATGCCTTTATTGTGTTGCCAGTGCCGTAAAAACCTTACTAAAACTAAAACTAAAAATGCTCGTTACCGCTTCAATGCGCTTCTCCTTTCTCAAACCAAACAAAACTTTTTTGTCCTTTTTCTCCCACAGACTGGCTAACGTGCTCATCGCAAGACCACGCCTATGTAGAATGCGCCCACGCTATGCCTATAATGTGGGTGTCTGTGAAAGACAAACACTCCAGTGCTGTCTGTACACGTGACGACAGCTTTGGGCTGACCACTGGTGGAGTCTTGTGGGTAGATAACGGGTGTCGTGCTACGTTTAAGATCACAACATCCTGGTGATTTTGAGCTTATGGAGCACGTTTCATCGATAATTATAATTGGTCACTTTTAAGGATAAGCAGGCTCACCCAGATTTCGGGGGTTCCCAGAAATCTTTATCTACACCAAAAGTGGGTATTGCCCTACCTATAGGAGAAGTTTGGTTTCATTGGTATGTGTATTTGTTTGGTTATAGAAAAAGCTCTCCTTGTCTTTTTAAGAAACTGAATAAGGATCCAAAAACTTTACCTTCGATTTTATCAAGACAGCATTTTATGGGATAGCCCCATTGTGCTTAAAAGCGACCAATTGTTCCTTTACACGGTAAACACCCGTTCCTTTGATGCCATTGTTCCATTTTCTTCACTCTATAGTAAACAACCGCTCGGGTTTCTGTGATTTGATAGGGATTTGTTTGTGATTGCCGGTAGTTTAAAATGCAATAAAAGTGTTTGTAAATGTATGAATCCAACGTTTCAGATTCCTTACATTTTATGAGTTATCAATCCCTTAAGTTGGTTGTTAGAAGGTTTTCGGACAGAAAGGAATCTTTGGTGCAAGTACACTTTATATTCCCGCTCCCACATTCGGAACTGTTTGAACTAGTATGCAGATCTATGGTCACCGTAGGAAATGGGTGGGATTGGGGATTGGGCTATCTTGGTGGGGTTGGAGCTATGTCTCGCAGGAACAAGAACAGCTGGCTTTGATCGTCGATATACGCAAAGGCATGATATGTGCGTGTGTGTGTGTGTGTGTGTGTGTGTGTGTGTGTGTGTGTGTGTGTGTGTGTGTGTGTGTTTGTGCGCTCGTGTGTGTGGAGAGTGAGTGAGGGGGGGGGGATGAGATATACTTCATTTGTATCTAGTTCTAGTTGCTGGTTTTACCAGCAACAACAAGAATAAGAACAGCAACAAAAACAACAGCAATAGACAGAGCAACAGGATGTTGAAAAAGGCAGAAGAAGATCCACCTAAGCAACTGCTAACCACCCACTTCTTAATTCAGAGTCCTGTTGGAGGGACAACTGCCTTGTCTTTGAAGATTGTATTCCGAGTGCGGACGGGTTTTAATAGCAACCCGGGGGGGGGGGGGGGAGCAACAACAACAACCAATCAACCAAAAAAACCCACAATCAAAAACAAAAGCAAAAACAAAAAGGAGAACAGCATTATGGATTAAAAAACCCAAAAAAAACCCCAAAACAACAAAAACAACAACAACAACAACAACAACAAAACACCCCAAAGACGAAACAGAAACCAAGAGGGTGAAAAGCTTGTGAGAGGCGTGGGGAAACAGTCTTGCTATTACGCTGATTCAGAAATAAAAAGTTCGATCAGCTCAAAACCAACCTTTGAGAAGTTTGACGTCCGTTTTATTGAGTTTCACAATGTGTCAAGCTTTTTCAAATGCAAAATTCTTTGAATATCTTGATATCAACTCCAATAATATTCAAACGATTTTGATAGAGCAGATAGAGCATTTATTGCTTTCTGAACTCATGGTCTCAGAAAGGCCAAAAATGCCAGATAGAACTTTGTAATTCTGAGGTGTCGATTAATTATCTAATGGACTCCTGCATTATTGATCAGAGATAGAGATTACAGTAGCAACACAGAGCAAGGGGGAGAGGGTGAGAGAGAGAGAGAGAGAGAGAGAGAGAGAGAGAGAGAGAGAGAGAGAGAGAGAGAGAGAGAGAGATACTAGGGGGAGAGAGAGAGAGAGAGAGAGAGAGAGAAGAGAGAGACAGAGAGAGAGGGAGACAGATAGATAGGGAGAGAGGGAGAGAGAGAGAGGGGGGGGAGACAGATAGATAGGGGGAGAGGGAGAGAGAGGGAGAGAGATATAGATAGAGAGACGGAAAGAGAGAGAGAGAGACGGAAAGAGAGAGAGACGGAGAGAGAGAGAGAGAGAGAGAGAGAGGGGGGGGGGAGAGAGAGGGAGACAGATAGATAGGGGAGAGGGAGAGAGAGGGAGAGAGATAAAGATAGAGAGAGGGAGAGAGAGACGGAGAGAGAGAGAGAGAGAGAGAGAGAGAGAGAGAGAGAGAGAGAGAGAAGGGGGGGGGGGGGGTTATAATATAGCTCTGAAAGTTAATCGCCTTTTACACAAGGTTGAACCATTCATGAGACCAGATGTTCACAATGCATTAGAAACACGACTCTATGGAAAACGAACTTATCCGAACTTTACCTTCTTTGGACTTATCTCACCTTGTGGGAGCCGTTTCATCATTAATTCGGTACCGAAACAAAAGACAATGGAGTTTTCGTTTTTATTCAAATAATGTGTATACGTTTCAACGTTTTATGTTATATTGTAAATGGCCTTTTACGAGATTTCGATAGTTGCTTCGGCAGAAGTTAATTACTCAATCCATTGCGCACTGGCATCCGGAGCCTATGATTCTGTCACCGAAGCTTCTGGTGGAAAGCCCCTAGATTTAGACCCCTGTGTGCGAGGAAAGGTAAATGAAACATGAAATAGAAGCATGAGCTCGGGCACTTGGAACAACGCAACACTGTAAGGACATGGTCAATCTCCAAGGGAATATGCTCAGCTTGTATCATTGTGGTTTTTGTTGCTTTTATTGTGATTGTTGTTGCTGTTATGTTACTGTGGTCGTTGTTGCTGTTACTGTGGTTATTGTTGCTGTTACTGTGGTTATTGTTGCTGTTACTGTGGTTATTGTTGCTGTTACTGAGGTTATTGTTGCTGTTACTGTGGTTATTGTTGCTGTTACTGTGGTTATTGTTGCTGTTACAGTGGTTGTTGTTGCTGATACTGTGGTTGTTGTTGCTGTTACTGTGGTTATTGTTGCTGTTACTGTGGTTGTTGTTGCTGTTACTGTGGTTATTGTTGCTGTTATTGTGGTTATTGCTGCTGATACTGTGGTTGTTGTTGCTGTTACTGTGGTTATTGTTGCTGTTACTGTGGTTGTTGTTGCTGTTACTGTGGTTATTGTTGCTGTTATTGTGGTTATTGTTGCTGTTACAGTGGTTGTTGTTGCTGTTACTGTGGTCGTTGTTGCTGTTACAGTGGTTGTTGTTGCTGTTACAGTGGTTGTTGTTGCTGTTATTGTGGTTATTGTTGCTGTTACAGTGGTTGTTGTTGCTGTTACTGTGGTCGTTGTTGCTGTTACAGTGGTTGTTGTTGCTGTTATAGTCACCGTGTTGTTCTTGTTGTTGTTGTTGCTGCTGCTGCTTTTAAGAATGCTTTTTTATTATACTGATTTTTTTCTAGCTTGGGACTGCTCCGTGAGAGCAAGTTTACTCTAGTGTGTGCCTGTAGCATGTTTAAAATAGGTGTGTATGCCTAAAGAAAGGTACCAAAAGTCGGATTTTATCCATTTTCTGTACCTAATAGTAGTAGGACATTCAATGCTGAACACAATTGGTTTTGAATTTTTGAGATACCTCAAGTAGTTTTTGAGATATTGCACATTTTGCGAGGTAGGGTATGAAGATCTAATTTTGAGAAAATTTGCTTTTAAGTTTAGAACACTTGCAAACTTTAAAAAACAAAAAAACAAACCAAGATTCAATTGTTTCTAATGTATTTATTCATGGAAAATTCATTTTCCTTTCGGCATTCAGTTGACATCAATATCATGATTAGAATTCAATGGTAAAACATAGCGGGGAAAAGAAAACGTGCTTCAAGACCATATTTTAATACCTTTTAAAAGCAGTTTTCATTATCTTTTTAAAACATACCTTACCCCCAAAATAATTTAAAATAAAATATCAAAAAGTCAAATCATAAAAAACTCTTTTAACACATTGTAAAAAAAATGCTGGAACTATCATTTTTTTTATGAAACACATTTTGGTAAAAAAAGTGATTTTTGCCATTCTGCCTGCCTGGATTGTTTTTTGTTCCAAGCTGGGTTATTACGTCTTGCCCTCATATTCTGTTAGGACTCCCCGTTCTTCTATTGCTTTCTATCTTTGCTTCTAGAATACAATATGTTTCTCTCTTGAATCAGTATAGACAGCCCTTAAAAACGGTGAATTAAGGTCTGGGGAATTCACATAGCCTATGTTCAAATGATTTTTGCTTGCATGCATAGAGCGACCCGCCAGTAAACAACAGCTTCATGCACGATTTACTAGATTTCCCCAAAGCTAACAACCAATCAAGAAACAATTTAAGTGTCCCACGGTGCCGTGCTCTTAACACCAGTTCCTCAGCCTCTTAAAAATATAGTTGCATGTTCCCACAGGTGAATTGACGTAGGACAAGTAAGACTGTCGTTCTGATATGGTGGAATCAATGTAGCGATCGAAATATTATCAATGCATTATTTCCCAAACAATCTGATACCTTGGGGATATGATGGACAAAAGCTCTTTTGTATTTGCGGGGTTGAGCAGAGTATCTGGCCTCGTAGGCTGTGTATAATGGCGGACTTCCCGTGGTGCTGGTGGTGGGTTGAAAAACGTCAATATTTATTTTTCTGTTCATTAAAACAGTTGTGAACTGGGTAGCGCTTTCAAAGGGGCCTGATTGATGCAATCCCGAAGCCATGACAGGTTGTGTGATAATAATAGAATAGTCTTATCAGATGTTATTGCAAATGGCCTACAGCGCTCTGATAGCTCTGTTGGAATCGTGCTGGACTAGATCTAGGTGCTGATGCCCTTGGTTCAAATTTCCGAAGATATGTTCTTTAGCCCGTTTTTTAAATTTAGAATTGTCAATGCTATTTCTCCAGTTGGCTCCTCCTTACGAATATGGCTAAGGATTAAATATGAAATTTATGCCTAAAAATACTCGTACTGTATTTATAAAGGAGTCCAAGCAATGCCACATATTGATTATCCCAAAATGACGTGTTCGAAGCGGAGGAATCCGGCACTCGTCAGATTTGGAAGTTATGGAGTTTTGATTTTGATTTTTAAAGCCTGTTTATTTGACTTGCTTTTTGTTGACAAAAATATCCTTCTTTTTTATCATAGAAGTCAGGATATTTGCGATTGAAGAAGGTGGGGGTCGCCTGGTGTCAGAGGAGAAATTAGCGAGTAAGGTAGCCGCCAAAGTTTGGTGACTTTGAAAGCTTGAGTGTCCTTGGAATCTGTAAATTTATATTTCTTTGTGTGCGTTGGATCAACGTATT